AGATGGAGTCTTGGTCTGTCACCCAGGCTGGAGTGCAGCAGCAAGATCTCAGCTCACTGCAACCTTCACGACCCTGGTTCAAACGATTCTCCTGCCTCAGCCTCCAGAGTAGCTGGGATTACAGGCACACGCCACAACAACTGGCTCATTTTTGTATCTTCAGTAGGGATGGGCTTCACCATGTTGGCCAGGCTGGCCTCGAACTCCTGACCTCAGGGGATCCACCCATCTCAGCCTCCTAAAGTGCTGGGATTACAGGCGTGAGTCACTGCACCCTGCCTTAGTAGATTTTTTTGGAATCAACTCTCCCCTGCTATCACCTCATCTGTGTGCTGGCCAGGAATGCAGGTCCCCAGCCCCGAGGAAATGCCCCCAGGGCCGTGCGTTTTGACCACGCCCAAATATCTGAAAGCTGCTTTCTGGAGCATGCCCCAGAGGCACAGGGCTGGGGACTCTGCTGGACACCACGGGTGGGTGTGTGGTGGTGCCCTGGCTCCAGGACAGGATACCCCGCCGGTTGCCGTGGGAGTTGCAGACCCCCTCAGCTGAGCACTTGGTCAATGGCTGACCCCACTGAGACACTAGCAGGTGAAGAGGTACAGAGTAGATGCAGGGGAGGCACCTGGGCCCAAAGCCCACTCAGCACCCACCCCCTGTGGGAGAGGGGTTGCTACTGAACTCCATGAGCCTTGGTTTCCCCATCTGATCGCCTTGCACATAAACTAAGACAGGCTGTCCCCGTACTGTCGCCACCATTCTCAGCTGCGGCCGTGGAGTTACCTTGCCATCTGGGGTCTTCACTCAGGATCTTCTCAATCATGGCCTGGCTGGCCAAAACCCCAGGCTGCAGATCCGGGATGCCGTCCCCGCTGCCCAGCTGGCCGTTCTGCAAGGCTTCCTGGGCCTGCAGCTCCCTGCGAGCCGAGGACACGGTGGTCACGGCTCTGCATGCGGAGCCTCTGAAGCTGAAAGGAGGTCACTGGAGTACACACTCCCCTCCTACCACTACACAGAGACACTGCCTCCCGAAGGGCTCAGGTGTGTGGGGTGCTCCTCTGCCCTGGTACACAGTCCTGATCCAAATCCCAACCACTTAATTTTGTTTTTTGTTTGAGACAGGGTCTGGCTCTGTCCCCCAGGCTAGAGTGCAGTGGCGCAATCACAGCTGATTTCGGCCTCCACTTCCCGGGCTCAGGCAATCCTCCCACCTTGGCCTCCAAGAGCACTGGGATAACAGGTGTGAGCCACTACGCTCGGCCCCAACCACATAAGAGCGGAATTTTCTTGAGGCAGAATTTGCCTTCCTGCAGCCCAGGACCATGCACTGAGTTCATTCTCCTGCAAAGCAGTGCCTCATGGCCTCAAACCCTCCAGACTCCGGGAAAGAAACACCCAGTGAGAAGAGATGAGAGATCATCTCATCAGAAACAACATCCAGGCCTGCTACTCACCTGACGTCACACACGGGGGGCCGCAGGTCCAGGGGGCCGTGTGCAAAGGCACAGTGCAGCCCGTTCTTCACGCAGTGGCCCCTCGCGTCCGTCTCGTGGATGCAGGTTCCTGTCTTATAGTAGCGCAGGTGGTACTTGCGCTCCGTGTCCCCCGTCGTCCGGTGCAGGTAGGGACACCTGGGAAGCAGAGGGGCACACGGTGCCTGGTTCTCACAGACCCAGAGGCAGCCCTAAGCTCACACAATGCCTGGTTCTCACGCACCCAGAGGCAGCCCTAAGCTCCCCGAGTCCACACCCTAACAGCACCTGTCAAGCAGTGAATTCCTTTCCCTTCTCCCAGCTTCCTGTTCTGATCGGAAGGACTGACATCACATGCTCCAAAATGTGGACCCGCCCAGGTACACAGACCACCACAAACCCCCAACCACACACAGCTGGAAAACACAACACCGAATTTCCACAAAGCTCGTCCTTCCTAACAAACGTTGAAACCAGTGTGGGAAGTAAAGTCCATGTCCTGCATGCAGGCTGCATTTCCTTCCTGACCAGTCACTGTTAGAAAATGGGGGCCTTCCTGTCCAGTGTCCTGCTGCTCTCAGAGACCCAAGGAGGGAGGTAGGGGAGGGGAGAGGCACAGGGCCTGGACAATGCTTGGGGGGGATGGGCAAGAGAGGAAGCAGATGGCATGGTGGGGAGCACAGGTGAGGTAGCGTCATCATCACATGGGATACCTGCAGGCTCAGAGCAATGCTCCCAGGGAGTCACAGGCAGCTCCTGGAACAGGATGGGGTACAGGGGAAGGGGGAGCAGCTGCCAAGGTTCAGGCAGCATCAACAGAGATGGGGAGACAACACGAACTGCTCCTACATTCTGGGCATCTCCAGGTAGGTCACTCCAGAGGGATGTGAGGGGACACCCAGAGGACCCTGAGTCATCAATGGTGCCGAGCCCTGGCTGGTGATGGAATCAGAGTGGCCTGAAGGCCAAGGCAGAGGATGACGGGGCCCTCACTTCAGGTCCCCACACGTAAGGACTCAAACCTTCACCTCCAGCTCCAGCCAGGGAGCTTCGTGAGGGTCCCACCCACCTCGCTGTGCATGGGACTGGAGCTCCTGCCAGAGATGGCTGGGAACCAAGAGCGACCCAGCAACCACCTGGTTTAGCCCCATTCTCTAAGGTCAAGGAACACAGATGTTCAGAGAGTTCAGAGAGATGTTCGCAGAGTTCAGAGAGCCCCACCCAGGCCTCACTGGGCACCTGTGGTGTGCCAGATGCTGAAAGCTGAGAGTGCACAGAGGCTGAAGAAAGGGTGCCCGGCCCGACCTCAGGGTCCTGGGAGCCAGCCAAGCAAAAGTCAAATGAGAACGCCACCCAGGGACCTAGCGATCCCGCTCCTGAATTCACATCCCAGAAACGCAAAGGCAGAGTTGTAAGCAGACACCTGCACACACACAGGTTCACAGCGCATCATGCACAGGAGCAGAGAGGTGGAAACCACCCAAATGGGCACCGACGGAGGAGTCAATGAGCAAAACGTGGTCTCCTACCAACACAACGGGACAGCGTTCAGCCATGGAAGGAAGGTCGGCCACACTGGCTCACATCTGTCATCGTAGCACTTTGGGAGGCAGAGATGGGAGGACTGCTTGAGGCCAGGGGTTCAAGACCAGCCTGGGCAACATGGTGAGTCCCCATCTCTACAAAATATTTAAAAATTAGCTGGGCGTCACGGTTCCCACCTGTGGTCCCAGCTACTTGGGAGGCTGAGATGGGAGGATCACTTGAGCTCAAAAGGCCAAGGCTGCAGTGAGCCGTGATTGCGCGACTGCACTCTGGCCTGGACAACAGAGCAAGACCGTGTCTCAAAAAAAACAGGGGAGAAGGAGGAAGGGAAGGGGAAGGGCGGAGGAAGGGAGGGAAGAAGCGGGGGAGGGAAGGATAAAAAAAGAGAAAGAGACAGAAAGAGAAAGGAAGGAAGGAAGGAAGCAGCAAGCAAGTTGGGGCATGGTGGCTCACGCCCGTAATCCCAGCACTTTGGGAGGCCGAAGCAGATGGATCACCTGAAGTCAGAAGTTCAAAACCAACCTGGCCACCATGGTGAAACCTCATCTATACTAAAAACACACTAATTAGCCGGGTGTAGTGGCGCATGCCTGTAATCCCAGCTACTTGGGAGGCTGAGGCAGGAGAATTGCTTGAACCTGGGAGGTGGAGGCTGCAGTGAGACGAGATCGTGCCACTGCATTCCAGCCTGCGTGACAGAGGGACACTCCATCTTAAAAAAAAAAAAGAAAGAAAGAAAGAAAAAGATTAGACTTGGTATCTGCCAACACAAGCAGCAACAGTAACTCTTAGACGTGGATATTTGGAAGTCTCTCTTCCCATCAGCTCCTCACAGAATGCATAGTGGGGACCCAGTGAGGCACACCCTGGATCCACTCAGATCCAAGTTTCACAATGCCTGAGAACAGGGGCCGGGGAGGCCCCACAGGGCAAATGGGAAATGCCAGGCCTGCCAGGTGATACCACCAAACAGAGCTCTGAAAGACACAGGCCGGGCGCAGCAGCTCACGCCTGTAATCCCAGCACTTTGGGAGAGGAGGTGGGCAGATTACTTGAGCCCAGGAGTTCAAAACCAGCGAGACCCCGTTCCCACAAAAAATACAGAAACACAGCTGGAGGTGGTGGTGTGCACCTCTGGTCCCCGCTACTCTGGAAGCTAAGGTACAAGCATCACTTGAGCTCAGGAGGTTGAGGCTGCAGTGAACAAATTTGTGTGTCACCCTGAAAACGCTGCACCACAAGAATAGGGTGAGCCTATTTTTTCCTGAGAACAAAAGACCCGGGGTGGCTGCAGGGCCACTGTGCAAAGGTCTGGCAAGGATGGCCTCTGTTCTGTGGCTGCGCTGAAAATGGGCCTAGAGGCTGGGCATGGTGGCTCATGCTTGTAATCCCCGGACTCTGGGAGGCCGAGGCAGGTGGATCGCTTGAGTCCAGAAGTTCAAGTCCAGCCTGTGCAACACAGCAAAACCCCATCTCAACTAATACACACACACACACCCCCCCACACACCAGCTGGGCATGATGGTGCACCTGTGGTACACACACACACACACACACACACACACCAGCTGGGCATGGTGGCGCACCTGTGGTACAAACACACACACACACACACACACCCCAGCTGGGCATGGTGGTGCACCTGTGGTACA